TGCATGCCTGTTTTTTGTGGTACTCTTTTTCAGGACTTTTACATCTTAACCACTTTGACTTGCTTAATAGTATTATTCTTTCACTCATCTTTGCATGTGTGTAGTCACAGTGTGAATGATACCTTATTTGTTTCCCCCCTTTCCCCAAAACCCATGGGAATGTAATGGTATTAAAAGGAGGATAAGGTGTTATTCCTCAAATCTCAGGTCAGTGTTCTTTCCACTCTTAGATTGAGGCTCTGTCTACGGGAATGCACTGTAACTTAAACTGTTGTTGGTTGGTTTTCCCCCTTTTTCTTCTGGCTGTTGAATGTGCCAGTTTGCTCTTAAACTCATTTAGGCTTAGAAGAACTGAGTATAGTGTCATTCTGTTTTGCAGGAGTTCACCATCGAGTAAGACAGCAAATAACAAATCTGCAAAGCAGGCTGCACACACTAAAAAGCAAAGAGATGGTGATGATGGCATTTCTCATGTAATACCTGATACTCAGCCTAAAGGTTTGTGAACCTTAGAAAACTGTTTGAATTTGTATTTCTTCTTAATGTATTTCTAATAATTCAAAATGAAGATGATACTACATTGAAAAGATGTGTTAAAATAAAAGGGGATTATATAGCAACACAAAGAAGTTGCTAATTTTATTATTCGCATAGTATTCAGTTTTTATTAATTTCAAATATTAAATAGCAATTGTCTCTTTATGTGTGGGTTTTAGAAAAATTTATAAAGTTCTAATGTTAGTTTAGTTATTTCTGATTGCTGTCTGCCTGAAGATTGATATTATTACTTACTGGATTATTATTAATAGCTTCCCACTGACAGTCTTCCTACCACGAATTACTTTATCATCAGAACTTCTCTCAGTTCTAGGTGGGTGCCACCATAAGCCACTATTAGAAAATTTAAATGCAAATGCATCCCAGACATGTGAAAATTACTTGTAGGCCTCTGTGTATGTAAGGTTATTGAATTGACATCCTTTCCCATTTTTGTCTTTTATTTAATGTTCACTGAATTATTTTACGAGAATTTGAAGTAAAACTATTTACTGCATCAATTTGTGAAATTGCCATGTTCAAGAATCTCTAAATTATGATAGCTTCTAGCTAGTGGAGATACTTCATGTTTTGAATGATTTCACAAGGATTTATAAATATTCCAAAGAAAAGAAGGTTCTTTCACACAGAATCGAGGTCAGATCAAGCCCTAAGGAACAGAAATGGGAGTATCTATACCAGGAGGGAGGGGGGG